GGCAGCCACTCAGGGATGTTCTTGGAGGAAGGCCTTAGTTCCAGGAGCCTATGACCAGCTGTAACGTTCGGCCTGCAATTCTGGCAAAACCAGAGAACTATTAGAAACAGAAACAGGGATGCATAATTTGATACACATTTGATAAGGAATTACTGCTGGTTTTAGGAGGGATAATGCAACTGTGGCTATGTTTTTAAAATCCTTTTTCTGCTAGGAACACATGCTGAAACATGGATGAGATGCCAAATGGTCTGGGTTCTGGGGCACAAACAAAACTGGCTAAGAGCTGCTAAACGCTAAAGCTGAAAATCATTCTGTTATTTTCTCTGTATTTGGGAATGTCAGAAATTTTCCATGAAAAAAAGTTAAATAGGACAAAAAAAAATGCCCAAGAAAATGGCAGGGCTGGACAAAGGTGGGAGGATCTGGAGGGGATAAAACAGTGAGGGTCAGCCTGCCCTGTCGAGAGGGAACTTCCCTGGCCCTGAGAGTGACTGTGCAGGAAGAAGACAGTAGGGAAGGATGGCCTGTGGCTACATAGAATTCCAGCCCTGCCCCCTCATCCAGCCCAGCCTGTATCAAATGAAAATGTGGCCAGGCACAGGGCTTGAGAGAAGCGATGGGCAGGAGGATGGCCTGGCATTCCCATACTGCACACAGGCAGCTCATCCCAGTAGCCTACGTGGTTCACAGGGGTCTTGGGCATTGTTGGTCAGGAAGCAGCACAGGCAAGCTGGCCACTTGCAAGGTGGGGTCTGGGGAGTAAGAAAGAGCAAAACATGCATGCCTGGGATTTCAGATTTCTACTTTTCTCAATCCTTCCAACTTGTGGTGCACTTTAAGGGTATATATAGGGGGTGTGGGTTCAATTTAGAGGAACTGCCTAATGCCATGGAATTATACCCAGATGGTTTCCTGCTTGAGCCTAAGAAACTCCTACTCCTTCAAGTCCCATCCAATGTAACTTCTAGATGACTGTCCAGTCTCCTGGGAACCCCTCTCGTCCCCCCACCCCCAGCACAATGGGCTATAGCTGCCTATTTCAGGGTGTATTTGGCATCACCATGTCCTTGGTAAAAAGCTGTTATATAAGTAAGGGTCTGTCTGGGCACACTGTGGCCTTGAGCAAGCCTGCAGGTGATAGTGAAAGTGCAGAAGGATCAGGAGGCTGGTATCTGATGCATCACATGGTCCTTAGGCTGAGAAGCTGGCAGGAATAAGGTGACTCACTGAAGAGGCCAGCAGCACAGTGCTGGGGCTCTGCCAGGACCACACAGGGACAGGCTCACACATGTGTCTCCTTGGGATGTGCATTTGGGGCCACTCATCTGAGTGGACAGGGCTTCTGGAGACCCCTATGAGGACTCAGAGAGGATGAGGGTAGCTGCTATCCCTCACAGATGGATGAAAAGTCAGGAAGAAATCCCAGCCATTTATGGATTCTAGTTTCCAGGCTAATAAAAAAGGCTTTTAAAATATTAAATTGACTGGCTATCAACATTTTTGGGTGTGGAGTACCTGGGATTGAACTCAGGGGAACTTGACCACTGAGCCACATCCCCAGCCTTATTTTGTATTTTATCTAGAGACAGGGTCTCACTGAGTTGTTCAATGCCTCACCTTTGCTGAGGCTGACTTTGAACTCGCAATCCTCCTGCCTCAGCCTCCCAAGCCACTGGGATTACAGGTGTGTGCCAACGTATCCTGCTGGCTACCAACATTTTGGACAAACAATTCAGTCTTAGGTTTTATTGAGCATCGCCTGTGTGTGGGACTTCGGTGGGCCTGCTAATGTGGTCAGGAGCCAACATAGAGCTGGAAAAATAGCAACCCTTGCTCAACAGAACATCGCATGACAGTGGGAACAAATCCACCACACTGACACACCCTGAGCACAAGGCAGGTCATGCCAGCAGTGTGACCCATGTCAGACTCAGATGCAGGTGGATGAAATGACAATGTGGCAAACAGTTGAGAAAGGGAGGGATGAAGACCACAACACTCAGGAGAAGGAAGGAGGTGAAGCACCCAAGAAACTCCAAGTGCTTGAGTTTCATGTTCCTCCTTCCACAAGAAACCCCAAGCACACTTTATACACACTTTATACCTGTGTCCCCATCATGCTGACCACCAAACATCAGAGAATGTGGAAGCTTCCTGAATTCTGGCACCATGCATACAGCAACATTCTGTAAGTGTTAATTTTGACATTACTGTGAGGCTGGAAGACATGAGCTCGGCCTGGTGTCTTTATTCCAGGAGTGGGACAGAGTGGCTGCACTGGGTAGCTGCCAGACCCAAAGTCCAGCGAGGCCCCTGGACACTTGAAGCTTCCTTAACTCTGAAATGGAGGCAGAGTCACAGTCACATGCTCAGGGGCTTGGGGATACAATGCTTGCTGATGAAGGAAACAAGGCCCCCAAGACACAGCTAGGTACAAGGGACATGAGGGCTCATCCCTCTGCATGATCATTTGGTGGCTATAGGAGCCAGGGCTTCCACACCTGGCCTAAAATGGGGAGCAGGGTCCCAGGACTCAGGGCTGCCCAGAAGCTCAAGATGTGGGCCTAAGATAAAGCCAAGACACTCTGGACAGGGAAACCCCACATCACCACTCCAAGCTGTATGCTCTGGCTGAGACCTGCTCAGGGATCCCACTGCTGGACCCCTCCTAGATGGACAGAGATCTAAGAGTGGCCAGCAGCTCATCTAAACTTTTTCTTAGGATATTAGTGCAGGTCCCCATCCTGCCCAGCCCTCAGAGGGCAGGCCAACCCTGCCATCTACATCTCACAGAAGAGAGCACCCCACTACCCACATTCATGACTTGGCAACCACTTGATGCATGATCTGCTCCCTACTACTCTTGCTTGTCATCCCTGTGCCTGGGGCTCAGTCTAGCAGCATCCCCACGAAGTGGTGGGTCAATCTATACTGATTTCACACCTGCCTGAGACAGAGGGGCAGGGGACAGCAGAGAGATGCTCCCTATCTTGTATCCTACACACAACAGCCCATCCCAAGGTCTGTGTACTCAGAGGCTCCAGGACCCTGGCCAGGCCTCTTGACAGCTAGTGATTCCCAGCCACGTGCTCTTGGTAACATCTGCCTACCTAGCACCCCAGCGAGCATTGTTGCCACCTATTGTCTAACACACTTAGACATTGTTGCCACCATTGTCTAACACACTTAGACAATGTCCAGAGCGCATCAAAGCTGACCTTCAGAAAGCACTTCCCTCACCTCACCTAGTGCCCCCTGGGCCACTCTCATCCATCCTGCAGCAGTCCCCTGGGGTGTCTGAAGTATCTTCCTGCATAGGAACTAGGAGGATCCTTCAGAGTCCCCACTGTGCCTGGGCTGCTCACAGCTTAAGTGCAAGACCAACTATTCTGGAAGCTCCACTGGAGAAAACACCCAATTTCCAACAGGCTGACAAATACGTACAGTTATGTACACACACGCACATGCACACACCGCTCCACACAGCCACACTAATGCACACACAGACACATAGAGACAGGTGTGCACATGCATATAGGCACACATATACTTGTACACACACACATCTAAGCCTGCTTTGTATCACAGAGCTCTTCTCCATGGTGCCCTTGACAAGCAGGGAGTGTCCTCGCCTCAGGAGGTTGCCTGAAAACCCACAGTCCAGGAACTGGCACCACACTGGTTGTGGGATCACCCTGAGCATCACAGATTCCCGACCAGCTCTGTGTTTTGTTTTGTTTAATATTTGTTTTTTAGCTTTAGGTGGATACAATATCTTTATTTTATTTTTATGTGGTGCTGAGGATCGAACCCAGTGCCTCCCGCATGCCAGGCGAGCGCGCTACTACTTGAGCCATATCCCCAGCCCCAGCTCTGTGTTCTGACAGAGAAAAATGAAGCTCACAGCCCCAGGCCCTGGAACACAGCCCCATCCACCCACCCCACCACAAGCCAGGCCCAAGAGAGGCCAGTAGAGCTCACCAATGGCCAGTGGTCCACATCTAGCCCATGCAGAATCCTAAGAGAGGGTTCACCCAGGCCCACGCCCCAAAAGCAGCTTCCCCTGGTCCTAGGTAGCCAAAATTTGTATACAGATGTTCAACAGGGCTGCTGGCAGTGTTCCTGGAGGGGAGGGGTGACATGGTGCTGCCATCTCACTGAGATAGCCACCCACCACACCTGCATTCCTACTGCCCTGCCATGTTGGGGACTCTATCCAGAGCCCTACCTGGGGTCCATTCAGATCTGTGCCTCATCACCATGGAACTTGCTGTAGACTGACTTCTGGTTTTGTTTTCTGTCAGCTTGCCTGAAAACACCCCCATGAGGACAAAGATCTGTCTGCTCCATCATCAGCAGGTCTTGAGAGACCCATGATGCACCAGAGCTGTACCGGCCAGCACCAGGCAAGACCCTTCTTCCCATGCCTGCAGTCTTCAGAGCTCTCCCCAGGGTAAGTGGATGCACTGTTCTCCTGCCCAGAAGACTCAGTTAAGAAACTGCCTGTTGTATGCCAAGTTGGCCACAGAGCCAGAGGGTGGATGTTGACTGCAGCCCTATCTATCACCTGGGGTCACTGGCTTCTCCTTGGCCACAGTCCTTGGGAAAAAGCACTACAGTGCCTAGCACCATGAGCATCTATCCTTCCAGCTCTGAGAACAGAAATCAAATAGACTTGGGAAGGGGAGGCCACGTGGGGGCTCCAGGGATACCCAACCAACAAGTGAAGGTGCATCCTGAACCTGAGGATGAGGACCCCCACATCCTTCAGCCAGAGACGCCTTCAAGGCCTTAATACTCCTGCACCCCTTCACCCCCTGCCCCACACACAACCTCTACTCCATGAACTCTGAAGTCTGCTCCGTCCATGTGTGAAACTGCTGGCCAGGCCAAGCTAAACACTGGCCAAGCCTAGGAGGGATCCACTGCCCTGTCCACAGCCCTCCCAAGCCCCTGCCCAGCCCAACCATGGCCACACTGACACCCCTGGGCCCTACCTCTGGCTGACAGCTTCTTGGTGTTGATGATCTTGGCTGCATACTCATGGCCGGTGCAGAGCTTGACGCAGCGTCGGACCACAGAGAAAGCCCCCCTGGGGAGGAGAATACCGGGCAAGAGACAGACAGAAACAGACAGGGAGAAAGAGAGAGCCAATTAATCGCCCATAAACACTCAGTATCCAGCCAGTAGCCAGGCCTTGGGCAGACGGCCAGTGTTGGGAGGAAGCCTGGACCCTTCCCACACCACTGGGTACTGCAGGACAGGGCCTAGCCTCCGGACAGCTCCTGCCAGACAAACACTCTGACAAGGCTGCAGGGAAGGGGGGCCACCACAACACTGGGAGGAGGCTGTCCAGGCCCCCATTCAACTCCTCTGTGATCCTGGGGCCCCATATCCTTATGGGTCAGACGAACTGATAGTCCCCCGGGCCTTCCATCTCCCACCCTCAGGTGTTCTATACCAAGTGCACAAGGCCTAGTTAGTTCTTTTTCAAAGAAAGGGCCAGAGGCCAGCTACCAAGGGCAGATATATTGGTATTTGGTACAGACCCAGAGACTCACATAAGGTTGGAGAGAGAGGGAGAAGCAGCAAACCATTAAACTGCAAAGTGAGAGGAGAGAGTCCCCTGGAATATTCCACTGTCCTTGTGTCAGAGCAGAGGCTGTGGAGGTCCAGAGTGGGGCACCACAGGGACATTGACACACCAACAGCTTGGAGGTGTCACACTGAAGAATCAGAGCTTGGGAATGTGGGTTAAAATGATGGTGGCCATCAAGAGAGGCCTTTGACATTTCCCACAAAACTGACCCACAGAAGAATTTCTACTTCTAGAGACCTGAAGCCCAGAAAGGGAGGAAGCCCAGAGCCAGACTGAGCCCTACTATGACACTGACCTCTGTCTCTATACCCCCAAAGTGCCCAGCCTCCCCACTCAAAGCACAACCTCACTCCCTCTTTGGACTGGGCATCCTGAGTAATCCCAGTGTCTAAATTGAGGTTCCATGACCAGAAAGAAGTCTCTTAAGCAGCAAACACTTTTTTTTTTCTTTTTCTGCTACAATCTTTGTAACAATGTAAATGAATACACTATGTCTCCTTGAATACATTCAAAATGACTCAGGTCCTTCCCATCAGTGACTACCCAGGCAGCCCAGTGGCATCTTCGCCTTTTAAAGTCAATCTGCAAAAGGGGACAAGGGCTACCTCGGGAGGGGCTGGGAGGTGGGGAAGGCTGCTCGCTCTGCAGCCTCTTGGTTCTATTTGATTTTTTCACTTATGTGTAAGTTACATTCTCAAAATATTCCTTCTCATAAAAAATGTAAAGAAAGGATTATGTTTTGATCCATGACACTGTCCTGAGAGAGAGTGGAGAAGGGAGAGGCCGTGAGCTTCATGCCTAGTCTGGTTTCAACTCTTATCCATCACTTCTGGTTGCACAGGGTGACGTAGCTCTCAGTCTCAGTTTCCTCGTCTGTATAAAAGAGCAGAAAGGCCTCTTGGGGCCGCTGTGTGGCTGTTGCCCACTCCAACCTCACCCAATGCTCACCCTCACATTCCCTTTTGCTCATCAAGAGTTGAGAGCTTCTGTTAGGGGCCCTGAGCTGCCACCTGATCTGTTCCCCACTCAGTGCCTAAGAAGGCATGGTGCCTGCAGTATTGGCTCTGTGGAAACCCCCTAAAAGCTCTGGGCCAGGTTCTGAAGGAAGCAGGAAGTCCAGGCTTCCCTGTGCCAGGGATGCAACCTCACATGTGGGCTGACCCTCAGTGGGAAGTTTGCATAGCTGGACATTCATCTCTGAGAAACAGATAGGTGATGCTGGACACCGGGTCCAAATGGGGAAGCCTGTCCCTGAAGCAGGGAGGAGGTCCACACTCATCTTCCCTTCAGCAGAGCCTGCCCCCAGTTGCTGTGCCAACCTGGGTAAAGACACAAGCAGAAATCCCTGCAAGTCACAACTCTTCTGCAGCAGAAGAGTGGTCACGCATGAAATGACCAAGATCCTACAGCAGATGGATGGTTCAGGGTACTGCTCAGGTGGCCCTCCCCAGGTCAGACACCCACTTTTCAGCTCTGTAGATGGCTCTGGAGCTGCCCCTGCACTGTCAGCCAGGGTCTAGGATAGTCACGGACCGGGAAAGGTGAACAGGGATAGTTGCAGTTGCCACAGGGAGGGAGAAAGGTACGCTGGGGACCAGGAGGCATCTAGGTTGGGGGTACCAGCTGCACAGCCATGTGAGAGGGAAGGCAGCAGGCAAAACACCTGCTGTTCAGCAGATGCTCAACAGGAAGGGCCAGGGATGAAGAAGCCCTTCTTTCTTGGCCACAAGTCCACAGGGTGAGGTGGAGAATACCCAAAGAAAGGACAGGTCCCCATTCCAGTGACTCAGCCCCAGATACAGAAGGTGGCGGCCAGGTGGTGAGGACAGGAAGGCTCAGCCCCCAGGATGGCTGCTCTTCCCTATGCCCAGTTCCTCAGCCCCACCTCTTCCACCCCTGCAAAGGGCTTCTCCTCATAATGGCCATCTCCTTCTCCTCTAGCATCCATCTCCCTTCCCCTCCATCCCTCCAGCCCACCACAGGCACTTGGCCAGTAGGTGCATGCCCCCCCCCTTCCTTTCTCAGTGGCTCTGTCACCTGCCAGGTACTACCCTATCACAAGAAGTCCCCCTGGAAGTGGCCACAAATACATTCAGCATGTGCCACGCAGGTTACAGCTGGGAGCATTGCCATCTTAGATACCTCCAGAACAGGGAGGCCAATGCCATCGCCATCCTTTCTTGTAATCATGGAAAGGGAACACGAATACTCTGGGTCTGTACTGTAAGCCTGTCCCTGACACCGCAGTCCAACTCCTCTACATCCTTCATGGCCCAATTCTGACAGCTTGGTCTTCTCTGATTATTACCCTTCACATGGGTCTCAGGTCAGTTTCTCCACATTATTATAATTATTTATCTGTCTGTTTCTACCCCCTCCCCACTGTGGCTTTCTATGGCGGGGCCTCTGTCCTGCCTACCCTGATCCTGGTTTTAGGCATGGTGTCACCTGTTGATACAGGAATCAGAACTAACAGAAAGCAGCACACGCAGGCTGGAGCGGAGAGTGGAGCTGCTAGGCCTCAGCTTTGTCCAGCCCAGTGGTGCAGTGGCTGCTAAAAAGCCAGGGACAGGGAGAGATTGGGCTAGTCTGTGGAGAGAGGGCAGGAAGAAGGGGACCCCTAGAGTGGCCAACAGGAGGGAGACTTCTAGAACCCCCAGCAGGAAGTGGGCCCCACTAGAGTAGTGAAACAGGAAGGGAACACCTACAGCTGTCCAACAAGAGACCTCCCCCTCCCACCACCACCAAGGCCTCCCCTGTGGGTAGACAAGCATCTCTGGGACAGAGGCCACATGGGCAAAGGGTCAGAACCCCGAGTAAACAGAACTAAGCGTCTAGGGGAACCCCCACATATAAATAGGCCTGAAGCCCCCTCTGCTCATCCAGAACTACAGGTGAGCAGGACAGGCAGTGGCTTGTGGCAGAGGAGACAGAAATGGTGCCAAGGCAGGAAGAAGGTCCAGAAGCAAGTAGGCGGGAGGGTCTCCCTGTCAACACTCCTGCTAGAGACTGGCTGTGAACTTCATCTGAACATCAAGGTCACTTGTGAGATGCCTGGCATGGGACACCTGCCACTGAACTTACTAGGAAGTGATTTGAATAACTCATTCGGATCATGAGGCCCCCAGGTACCAAGTGCGTTATGGGGCTTTTAAAATCAAATAAAGCTAATTAAAACAAGAAAATACTCTTTGAGTCTTTCCCTTGCTGAAGGCTCAAAACACTTTCTCATTTGCAGTGGGATCAACAGTACCAGGGAAACGGGCCCTGAGAGAGAAGAATTAATTCTGCGCAGGAATGGAGCCCTGGAACTGCACGGCCCGTTTCTGTGAGCTGCCTGGGGGCTGTGGGCACTCGCTACCTGCTTCATTGCTGGAGGTAAAAATCTCTTTACCCAAGAAAAGGGGCCCTGTCAGGAGAGCACCAGGTCTTTCCAGCTGGCTATACGGCACAGACTACATGAGTGCATGGTGAGGAAGGGTCAGGGAATGGACACTTTCACAGGACCCCATCTGTGCCTATCTTCTCCTGGAATCTCACTGGCTCCTCCCACCATATGACAGACAGCTCATCCCAGCTACTATCCCCAGCCCTACTGCTCCTCAGAGGTAGAAAATGGCCTCTGCTTAGCCCTGACTCTGAGCTGCCCCCAAACCAGAAACTACAAGGAACCTGCCACCTGCTGCTCTCTGTGGCTCCCACTGGCCCCCTCAGAGCTCCCTGACATGTGGCTTTGCGGCCCTCTCAGCCCTCCATTGGACCTTGCTAGCCACACTGCAACCTTGTCCTGCCATCCAGGCTCCCGGCCCCCTTGCTCCACTGCCTGGTCACACCCACATCTTTCCAAGGTGAACTGGAGGGAAATGTCCTTGAGCAGCATGGCCACTGCTGGGCTGAAATAGCAGAGACAGGAACGTTCTGAATCTCTCCTGTGACCATAGCAGGGTCTGCAAAACAGCTTCTCGTGGACCCTCCCATGCCCGACTTTCTAGTGAAGCTAGGGTTATCCTGATTGTTGGCTCTTGGAGTGCTAGTTAAGACACCATAATGATACCTTCTGTCCCCGATGGCCATGCAGACCCTGCTCAGGTCCCCTCCCCAGCTGCATCACGGGCTGGGGATTTTTGTCAGTGAGGGAGATGATAATGCTCCTTATTAAACAAGGCGATCCATGGAGAAGGCACTTTCTGGCACCCAGAAAGAACTGACAACACAACTCTGTTCCCAGGGTGGTATGGACGGGGACCAGGCTCTGCGATCCCCACATCAGGCTTCAGAGCTCCTGCACAGCAGTGCTCAGGAAAGCTGAATCAAAGGGTACTCTCAGCTGCCTCAATACTTGGATTCTATCTTCCTGGTGGAAATTTCAGAGTCACAGCAGCTTCTCTCCCCTGCTCCCCTCTTGGCTTCCCCCAGCCCCACGTCCACACACACACCCCCAGTTTTCTCCCTGTGTACTCTGGGCTTTCCTCCCTCCATGCTGGGCCTCTGCT